AAAATTCACAAAAATGATTCCATAAAATTTAGAAAGACAAAAGACTAAAAACCTCTCAATCTTGCATCATACATGACAGGAAGTGTAATTGTCAGAAATATTTGAATTCTCAAACAATTACGTACAAAGACACACACACACATGCACACACACCAAATAAGTTAGTTTCAAATCCATTGTCATTGTCATTTGCCAGTGTTTACATTGCTTTGTGGATTATGTAATAGAATCACTTAATGATTATACAGCAAAATTTAAAACTCAAAACCAACCACTGCTGCCACCAGGATATACAAAATAAACTGTGTACAATTAAAATCACAGTCAAGAGCTAATTTGACAAAGAATCAGATATAGACTATCCAAACCAAAAAAGGTGAACCACTGGAGTTTTCAGATAAGCCAAGAAAAGGTTAATCCAAGAGTTCAGGAGTCCAGCTTAGGTACAATGAACTTTCAGACTACCTTTTCCTTTTGTTTCAAGGGTTGTATCCAATAGGTACAATCTCAATGTCTTCATGAATAAACCATAAAAGAATAACTTGAATTATTAGTAAAATGTTTACTTGTATAAGAAGGCCCTGGGTAGTGTAATCTGTTTGTGTTCAACTATTAACACAGCTTGAACTCACCCATTGCACCACAGAAGAAAGGCCTGATAATCTGTGTCCACAAAGGGAAGAGTCAAGAATACCCTATGGACCACGTCTACTCTAAATCACGGGGTCTCTAGCAGTTGGAACTGACTTCAAGGCAACAAAATTTTTACTTCCATAAAAGGAAGATAAATTAACAGATTGATTTTATCTAACAAGGCAAAGCCAGGATTTATATAAGAGAAATAGCAGAGAGGGAGGAAAATTAACTTCAGAGATTCTGGGAAGAATAAGTCTTGTTTGTACTTTATGGGGTAAACCAATGGACTGTCAGATAACAAGCTGTCAGTCTGGATGTGATATCTTGAGTATGTTACGTAGGATGATCAAAAAATTTATTTCAATTGTTCATAAATTTTTCAGAGAGCCTTAAGAATTTTGTTTTACAGGATACATTTCAGCCTTTCACTGTCTTTTAGCACTCCCACCTTATTTAATCCATGTCCACTCCTTTTCTTCATCACTTTCTCACTCTCTCATACTTTGGTCTTTTTGCACCAGCCTCTTCATAGCTCCTTTTACATCTTTGTTTCTCAATGTGTAAATAAGGGGATTGAGGGTGGGAGTTACTACAGTATACAAAAGGGTTATAAATTTTCCCTGACTCTGGGCATAAGAGCTGTTGGGATGGATATACACGGCTGTGCTGGTCCCGTAGAAGAGAGATACAACCAGCAAGTGGGACCCACACGTTCCAAGGGCTTTACGCCAAGCTTGTGCTGACCTGATCCTCATCACCGCTTGGGCAATGTATCCATATGACACCAAGATGAGTGCCAGAGGTAGGAGGAGCAGTACCAGGGAAGCCATGAAGAGCTGGACCTCATTGGCATGAGTGTCTACACAGGCCAACTTGATCAAGGCAGGCACTTCACAGATGAAGTGATAAATCTTCCGGTTCCCACAAAGAGGTAGCCGAAGGGTGATGGTGCCCTGGATGAGGGTGTTGCCCGCTCCACTCAACCATGCCACTCCTGCAAGTGACTGGCAAAGCTGTGGGTGCATAACAGTTGCATAATGAAGTGGTTTGCAAACAGCAGCATAGCGATCATATGCCATGACAGCTAGAAGAACACACTCAGTGGATCCCAGTGCCAGAGACACATAGAGTTGAATAGCACAGCCTATAGGAGTAATTGTCTTGGCTGGTCCATGGAGGTTCCACAGCAGTTGAGGCACAATGCTGGTGGTAAAGCAGAGGTCAACAAAGGAGAGATTTGTAAGAAAGTAATACATTGGTGTATGGAGCATGGGATCCAGAATGGAGACCAGGATGATGGCTGTGTTGCCCACCAGTGTCAGGAAGTAGGAAATCAGCACAACTACGAAGAGGATCTTCTCAAGCTGTGGTTGATCAGAGAAGCCCACCAGTATGAAATCACCTTCCAAACTCTCATTATTCATCTTCATTGCCCTACTTATGAAAAGGACACATAATAGTATAAAAATATGGGCATTGTGTCCAAAACCCATAACCAAACCCATAGGTTTCGAATCAATGCTGAGTTGTAGGAGGCAAATAGAATCAGAAATGTACTTCGGAGAAATTGACCTTGAAGGTGAAGAGAGAGGGGGTTTATGGAGAAAGAAAGAAACTTGTCTGATTTCAGGAGGAAAGTAAAAGTATGAAGGACTTTCTTAAAGAACTTCTAAAAGATATGGTTCAATAAAGTAAGCAACACCAGAAGTGATTAATAATTAATGGTTTCTTGATTATTCCAAAGTGCTTCATTTTTCCTCAAATCTACCTCTTTCTTTCCAACAGCACCTTGTAAAATTGGAAGTGAATCAATAAAAAGAGAGGCACTATCTTACCTTTCAATGTACACCTTGAACTGTTCTATTAAAAGCAGCCCTAGAGGCACAGTGGTTAGGCCTTGGCTGCCAACCAAAAGGTTGAGTAGTTGGAACTCACCAACTGCTCCACAGGAGAAAAAA